GGACGGGTCCTTGGGTCCCCATCGAAGGTCCCCATCACGCGCCCAGGCTGGGGGCACCTACCACTTTCTGGAACTGCTTCTCCTTGCGCACCTCGACCATGACGAGCCCCTCCTTGACGAGCCCCAGCCCCACGTCGCTCTTGGAGTCGGCGAACTGCAGGGTGACGTGGGGACAGCCGGGTCCCCCGTGCTCCACGTTGAGCAGGCACTGGGTGTTCTGGATGTCGCGCACCACGCTGTCCACGGCGTCGGCGCGCGCCTCGTCCTGCGGGCACCGCGGGGTGGGCAACGGTGGGCGCCGGTGCCACCTCCCCTGTCCCCCCCGCCCCACAACTTACGTCTTGGGGCACCTGGATGAAGGCGAACTTGTACTCGGTGGCCTGGGCGGGCAGCACGCGGGTGCTGAAGGCGGGCGGCAGCGCGGCCAGGCGCGACGATGGCAGCGTCTCCTTCTGYGGGGACAGAGGGGCGGCGGGGCTGGGGGGCAGCGCCGGGGGCCGGGCACCCCGCCGGGCCRCCCCGCATGGGTGCCGGAGCTCTGGGGTGCCCGTGCTGTGGATGGCACCGGCACATGGATGCATGCCGGGAAGGGAAAGAGCTTGTGTGGTGGTTGGCACTGGCACCTGGACACGTCCTGGAGCCCCGAACGGCTGTGCACAGGTGGCACTGGCACCCGGACACATCCTGGAGCCCCGAATGGCTGTGCACAGGTGGCACTGGCACCCGGACACATCCTGGAGCCCCGAATGGCTGTGCACAGGTGGCACTGGCACCCGGACACATCCTGGAAGCACTAAGCAGCCATGCCATGGATGACACTGGCACCTAGGTGCATGCCAAGAGTCCCAAATGGTCATGCTGGCACTTGGACACATCCCRGGAGCCCTGAACGGCTGTGCCATGGATGGCACTGGCACTGGATATATCCCAGGAAGGCCATGGGACTGTGCCGTGGATGGYGCTGGCACTTGGTCACATCCCAGGAGTCCCAAACAGCTGGGCCATGGATGACAATGGCACTTGGTTGAATTCCAGGAGCCCCAAACAGCCGTGCCATGGCTGGCACTGGTACTGGATGCATCCCGGGAAGGCCAAGTGACCATGCCATGGATGCCACCTTCATCCAGACACATCCCGGGAGCCCCAAACAGCTGTGCTGTGGATGGCACTGGCACCTGGATGCATCCCRGGAGCYCCAAACAGCTGGGCYGTGGATGGCACTGGCACCTGGATGCATCCCGGGAGCCCCAAACAGCTGGGCCGTGGATGGCACYGGCACCTGGATGCATCCCGGGAGCCCCAAACAGCTGGGCCGTGGATGGCATTGGCATCCAGACACATTCCAGGAGTCCCAAACAGTCTGGATGGCACTGGCACCTGGCACACCCCGGGAAGAGCTGCGTGCCCGCTCCATTCCCGCTCCGTGCCCGCTCCGCGCCCGCTCCGCGCCCGCTCCGCGCGCACTCACATTGCCGTAGTCGATGTAGAAGATGTGCACCTTGGCCGCTGACTCCACCTTCTCCACGCGGGCCCGGTACCTGCGGCGGGGAGCGGGCGGGTGAGCGCCACGCCGTGCCGTGCCGCCGTGCCCGGCCCCGTGCCCGCGGCGCCGCGCTCACCATTCCCCGTCCACGAACTTGGCGATGCAGTAGTCGCCGCGGCGCGGCACGTAGGAGCCCTCCACGGGCGGGTGCCCCGCCAGCTCGCCACGCATGTTCTCCATGAGCTTCTCCAGCTGGGCACCTGTGGGGCACCCCGTGATGGCACCGGTGGCACCGGGCCCCGTTTCTGCTGTCCCCAGGAACCGCTCTTTAAAACGGCCTAATTAGCATGCTGGTAGGAGGGCGGGCATGCACGGGGCATGCAGGGCACATGCATGGCAGCAGGTTGCAGGCTGCATGCATGGTGGGAAGGCATGCAGGACATGGGTGACATGTATGATGTGCAGGGTGCATGCATGGTGTGGGGTGCATGGCGCTTGCATGACTGCAAGGTGCAGCGTGCATGCATRGKGTGCRGGGTGCAGGGTGCATGCATGGTGGGAAGGGTGCAGAGTGCATGCAAAGGGTTCAGGGCGCATGCATGGAGGTAAGGTGTGTAGGACACGAGGGACATGCATGATGTGCAGGGTGCATGCATGGTATGGGTGCATGACTGCAGGGTGCAGTGTGCATGCATGGTGTGCAAGGTGCACAGGGCACAATGCATGCATGGTGGGAAGGGTGCAGCATGCATGCAAAGGGTACAGGGCACATGCATGGTGGCAAGGTATGCAGGGCATAGGGCACACGCATGATGTGCAGGGTGCATGCAGGACATGGGGTATATGTATGACTGCAGGGTGCAGCGCGCATGCATGGTGTGCAAGGTGCAGGGTGCACAATGCATGGTGGGAATGGTGCAGAGTGCATGCAAAAGGTGCAGCACACATGCATGGTGGGCAGGGTACAGTGCATGTGCATGGTGGGCAGGATGCAGAGCACATGCACGGTGGCAGGGTGCAATGTTGCAGGGTATACAGGGCATAGGGCACATGCATGGCACATACGACATGCAGGGCGCATGCATGATGGAAGGGAGCAGGGTGCTTGCACAGCAAGCAGGGCACAGGATGCATGCACAGTGCAGGGTACATGCACAGTATCAAGGTGCAGGGCACATGCATGGTGCCAGGGTGCAGGACACAGGGCGCACACACGGTGTCAGGGTGCAGGGTACACATATGGTGTCAAGGTGCAGGGCACAGGGTGCATGCACTGTGTCAAGGTGCAGGGCACATACACAGTGTCAGGGTGCAGGGCACAAGCACAGTGTCAGGGTGCAGGGCACAGGGTGCATGCACAGTATCAGGGTGCAGGACACACAGTGTCCGGGTGCAGGGCACAGGGCACATGCACAGTATTAGGATGCAGGGCACATGCACAACATCAGGGTGCAGGGCACAAGCACAGTCTCAGCGTGCGGGGCACAGGGTGCATGCACAGTGTCAGTGTGCAGGGCAGAGGGTGCATGCACAGCATTAGGATGCAGGGCACACGCACAATGTCAGGGTGCAGGGCACATATATGGTGTCAAGGTGCAGGGCACAGGGTACA